CAAGAACAGAAAACCAAACACCGCATGTTCTCACTCATAGGTGGGAATTTAACCATGAGATCACTTGGACACAGGAAGGGGAACATCACACACCGGGTCCTATTGTGGAGAGGGGGGGAAGGGGGAGGGATAGCATTAAGAGATATACCTAATGTAAATGACAAATTAATGGATGCAGCACACCAACATGGCACATGTATACATATGTAACAAACGTGCACGTTGTGCACATGTACCGTAGAACTTAAAGTGTAATAAAAAAAGGGGGATATAAAATATTTCATTAATAATTTCTATATTGATGACATGTAAAATATAATATTCGGTAAATAACACCACTAAGATGAAATTCACTTGTGTATTTTAACTTTTTCCGTCTAGCTACTAACATTTAAAACATTTCGCTCTAGCTACTAACATCTAACATTTAAAATTGCATGTGTGGCTCACATTCTATGTTTCTATTGAATGATGCTGGCCTATATAAAGAATGGGAGTTGTGGTGGAGGTTATGGAGATGGAGGACTAAAGACTCTTCCAAACCATCTCGTAGTGCTACACTGCAGGCCACTCCGGTGTTGCTAAAGGACCACTGAGAGGAGATTTTACAACATTCTCCCAAAGGGAAGGGTGTGGAGAAAAGTGCTTGGAGGAGAAGGGGCTGAAGCTGCCAGACCTAGAACAGGCCTTCAAGAGTTCCTTACGCTTACAGCTATTGGCACCTTGGCAGATTAACTGCGATGTGCCAGAGACAGGAACTATGGGGACAAAATGTGACATAAATCTCCCCAATATGGGTTTGGACATTTAGAACTACATGTGGCACATGTGTTATACAAGTAGGGAAATATTATCATTATCATTTTTATTGTTTTGTGTCCAATTTTGAAATGGAAGCAACAGGGTCACTGGGTTTCAGAGGCCCATCTAGTCCTGGGTCGTTGACATCTTAGCATCAGCCAGGTTGGTTTACAGGGGCCTCCCCAAGTGTTCCATATTGCATAAGACCCCTGAGACCTTTCACCAATCTTGTAGCTTAGGGAGACAGCCTCACTAATAACTAAGATTTAATTTCTTGCCAACTGGTAAGTGGAATGTAGGAGTCGGATATAATTTGACTTAGAAAAATAATGTGTCAATTCTTGCCGTTGAGTATTATGTTGGAGTAAAATTCATGTCCCTTATTGTGGCCTTTGATTTTTGAGGCAAGAAAGAGACTTGAGCTCTTTAAGGGATCTTAAAATAGACTAACAGTTTTTGATTAATAGCCAGTACTACTGGACATGAAGAAACTCTTCAACAGAAATATGCTTCTAATGTAATTGCCCATGTGTCTTCCTTATTCAAATATTATAAAAATGATTTTAGAACCTGTAATTTTTTGAGGTCCTTGAAGGCTTGTGGGTGAATTCTGAATATCTTGTTGCTCTTTAAATAGAGATTCTCCAGTTGCAGGCAGTTGTGAAAATCAGACCACCCTATCTGCAATATCCCATTGAATGACAGATCCAAACTCTGCAATGACTTCAGTTTCCACAGTCCTGTTAAAATGAAAAAGTAAGTTAAAATCTAAACTGGTGAAATTTACTGCAGCACTGTTTGTAATGTTGAAAAATTGGAGACAACATTAAGAGTTCTCAACTGAGGTATTGCTAAACAAAGTATAGTATATTAATACTATGAAATAATATGTAATCTCAAAGGATAATGAGAGATCAACATGTAAACTGACTGAACAGGAAGAAAAAAGTTAAGTACAGGATAGTATAGAGTATAAGTCCAATGTCCTTGGGAAAAAGAGCCATATGCAAACACATACATAGATTTTGAGTGAGCAAGAAAAGGCCTGGCAGGAGATAAACTCAACTACTAGTAGTTACACTTAGGACTAGGATGATTGAGGGAAGTGAAGAGGGATAAGAAAAGAAACGTTGTTTTGAACACTTTTGAATTCTTTCTTTCAATGAGCATGTACTACTTTTAAAATAAGAGAATCACTTCTTCTCCAAGAAAACACCAAATGGCAGATGACGCCGGTGCAGCAGGGGGGCGGCCCGGAGGCCCTGGTGGCCCTGGGGTGGGGAAGGGCGGTGGCTTCCGCGGAG